CAGGAATTGATCACAGTTATGAATCTCTTAGAGACTTCATGGTTGCTGACCAGTTCCTGACAGCTCTTCCTCACCAGATACAAACATTCATTAGAGAACGTAACCTGATTAAATCTGAAGAAGTTGCTGAGGCCGCTGACTTGTATGCTGAGACTCACAATTCCTATAAAGACCTAAAGGGATTGAACCCTAAGGGTAAGGGTTCACCAGATCTTAAGAAATCAAAGCCTCTAGTGAAAAACAAACTAACTTCTTTTATCCCTGTTTGTCATTTATATGGTGTTAAGGGACATAAACGTCCCGAGTGTCCTTCTAAGAAGGTCCAAAAAGTTGGAAGGTGTTTTAAAGACTGTAATAACCAGGCACCCTTCTGTTCAGGAACAGTTAATGGACTTAATGTATCTACCATTTTATGAGACACTGGATGCACATGTATAGTCATTTCTGATAAGCTGTTCCCTAATCTTAAAGAAACTTATTCCTCTGCTATTCTTTCAGACTACTTGGGCCGTACAGACACTTTTCCTACCATCCGTTGTTACATTAGGTCTAAATGGTTCACAGGTTGGTCTGAAGCCGTACTAGCTCCCATCACTTCTTGCTCCGTACTAATAGGTAATGTAAAAGGTGCCATTCTTCCTTCTGAGGTTGACCTTTCATCACCAAAGATGGACATAAGCTTTTCAGATCCTCTTCCTGTAGAGTCAGAGAAGCCCCTCGAAAGTTCAGATGAGGCAATGTCTCGGAATATTCATGTGGGGTTAGAAACCAGTGATACTACTCTTGAAAGTGAGATAGTAGAATCACCGGTTCGCTTTTTAGATGAAAGCGAGGATATCACCTCCGATACTATAAATGTCTTGACTAGGGCTCAGACCAAAGCCCAGGCTTCTCCTACTGTCCATCCTTTGATTTTCCCTGACTTTAAGCCTTTAGATATATCAAAGGACTCCTTTGTCAATTTACAACATAATTGCCCTTCTCTTCAGAATTGCCATAATGCTGCTAGACAAAATCAAGTTATCTAAAGGAAAAACTTTTCATATAAATTTGAATATATAAAAGGTATATTGTATAAATCAGTATTCAAATTAAATTCAGATGAGATAGACTATTCCATCTTAGTTGTTCCAAGCCAATGCAGAGAGACTGTTCTTAAAATGGCTCATGATCTACCAGTGGCCGGACATTTCTCGCACCGTAAAACCTTAAATAAAATTAGGGAAACCTATTTTTGGCCCAAAATGTCCTCAGATATCACTACCTATTGTAGATCGTGTAAAGTATGCCAACTGTCATCCTCCCGAGGTACCCGGCGAGTACCTATGGTCAAAAATGCCAATCTTTATGGTACCATTTGAAAGAGTAGCTATTGACATTGTTGGTCCTTTATCACCACTTTCATCATCTGGGGGACATAGATATATATTAACATTAGTTGATTATGCTTCGAGTTTCCCTGAAGCTGTACCCTTAAAGTCCATGACTACTACAGAGGTGGCTGAAGCCCTTTTGTCCATCTTTTCCAGAGTTGGCATCCCTAGAGAGATTTTGTCTGACCGTGGGACACAATTCACATCTGACTTAATGCAACATCTCTACCAACTTCTGGGAGTGAAGCCTCTGTTCACCACACCCTATCATCCCAGCTGTAATGGGAGGATTGAGCGCCAGCATTCGGTTCTCAAGTCCATTTTACGGAAACTTTACTCTCTTAAACCTAAGGAGTGGCATCGTTACCTACCCTGTGTTTTGTTTGCCATGAGGGAAGTTCCCAGTGACTCCTTGGGGTTTTCACCCTTTGAACTTCTCTATGGTAGACAGGCCAGAGGTCCATTGTCCATCCTTCATGACTTGTGGACTAATGAGGACGTGAATGCTGAGGTTCAGTCTTATCAGTTTCTCCTTGACCTTAGATCCAAACTTGAGGAGACCTCTGACATAGTTTCGAAAAACTTAAGCTTGTCAATGGACCAGTACAAAACCTATTTTGATTCCAAAAGTCAGCTGATTCCAAAAGACAACTGAGGAGTGTAAGGTGTGCGTATGACAGAGAACTACATGATTTGGTGACTCTTGACCACTCGGGTGCAACAAACATTGGATGACCATAAGAAACATGAACTACTTCAATGTATAGCTTCTCAGACGTTTTTAGTGATATTCCAGGTGTCACCTCCACGGTAGTCCATAAGATTGGCTTAGTCACGGACAATCCTATCAAACGGAAATTATACCAAGTTCCAGTTCACCTTGGGGATGCATTTGACCGAGAGGTAGACAAATTATTAAAACTAAAGATCATTGAACCTTCAGTATCTGCATATTGCTCACCAGTAGTCATGGTTAAGGAGGATAATTCATATAGACTTGCGATTGACTTCAGAGGCCTTAATGTTATAACTCGGTGGGATGCTGAGCCTATGCCCTTAATAGATAGTGATCTACACAAATTTTATGACTCTTCCTTCTTTTCAGAGATTGGTATTGCGCAGGCATATCATCAAGTAATGTTAGAGCCTTCTTCTAAGCAGTACACCTCTTTTCCTACCCACCAAGGACTGATGCAGTATAGAACTATGCCCTTCGGTTTGGTAACTGCCTGTGCTACCTACGTGAGACTGATGAGAAAGGTCTTGGGTAATATGCCAAATGTTTCAGTTTATTTTGATAACATTTACGTAATGACATCTACGTGGGGCAAGCATATCCAAACATTAACATCAGTTTTACGTAGGTTACGCTCGCATGGCCTCACGGCCAAGCCGAAGAAATGCTTCCTTGGGTATAACAAGATTAGATATTTCGGACTGATCCTTTCTAATAACTCTTTGCAGCCTCTCCCCAGTAAGATCAAAGCTTTGTTAGAATTTAAATTCCCCAAAACCAAGAAGCTCATGCGTAGCTTTCTTGGTTCTGTAAATTTTTATGCACGGTTTATCCCGAACCTTACTGATCTTACAGGCATCTTATCCGACTTCCTTAAAAAGTCTGTGAAGGAACCTCTTGAACTTTCCGACGTAGCTCGAGAAAAGTTTAATGAGATTAAAAATATCTTCTCAAAAGACCCTATACTTAAGATCCCAGATATTAACAAAACATTTTGTTTAAGAACTGATGCCTCCAATACTGGCTTAGGTGCGGTGTTACTACAATATCATGATGGTACTCCCTTCCCTGTATGCTTCCTAAGCCGGAAACTCCTTCCTGCAGAAACGAGATACTCCACCATAGAAAAGGAATGTTTGGCCCTTGTGTGGGGTATCTCCAAGCTTAAATGGGAAAAGAATTCATTTTAGAGACGGATCACAAACCTTTGATATACCTAGAAACTTTTAAGGGAACCAACAGTCGCCTCTTGAGGTGGACATTGGCTCTCCAAGCTTTTAAGTTCCATATTGTGTATATCAATGGTTCATCCAATTATTTCTCTGACTGGTTAAGTCATGACAGTCAGTAGAAGATTTGTTGCCTTACGCGACTTCCACATTTTAGAACTTTTTCCTCGCCTATTCTTCTTATACTCCTTGACTATAAGTCTTGGTATGGGGGAGTGTGAGGGAAAAGTTCAACAGATAGGAGTAGCGAGTGAGTATATGGTAACGATAGTTTGATTGCCGGCTGCTTGTTAAGGTAGGGTAAGTCTAGCTCCCGCTATCCCCCCCCCTTTCTCCCCACCCCGAAAGGTGACATGTGGGGCTCCGGCCGAACGGTAATCACTCGACTCACAGCTCCCAGCACAACTGTAAGTAAAAGCCTGCTCCTATTCTAGTGGACTTATTGGTTGAAAGCTTCACTTTTGACCAATAATGAACTTAGTCCTTTCAGCCTTGATCTCCATGTTAGATGTTTTGATAATCACCACGTCTTTTAGGTATTGTACTTATCATGGAGAGTGATTTCTTAAGCAGTGGGTAACCTGTCTCTTTCCAGCTTGGAATGACAGATCGGGTCACCTGCCAACCAACGAGAAGTGTTGAAGGAGAAGGACTTTTGCAAAAGTCCGGAGACGTCACTTTTTGGATCTACCTACCTGATTAACTGTAGGCGACAGCAGACAACAACCCCTCATCTTTGTAGTGGTAAAGAACCTGCTTTCCTGTCATCTGGACTGACTATTCAAGGCTATAGACTCTGTGAAGAACTAGCCGTTGGGTTGTCACCAACACCTGTGACCCCCCCCCACATCATCAGTAACGGCTACAATTTCTACTAGACGGTGTCAACCTCCACCAGACAACCCAGTATAATTGTACATATTAACGTTGAATTCAAATGTCATTTTTCACTTCATTTTTCATTTTTCTTTCAAATAGGATACACCTTCATGTTTCACTGTTTTATCTTTGCATTAACCCTTAAATGGTCCAAACGTATATATACGTTTTTTCAACATCTGAAAGTATGTAAAAATATGTAGATTTTTTTTTGTTTGTTTTACATGTGAAAACGTGTAAAAAACTTTTATCTACATTTTTTTTGTTATACAGTGGACCCCCGGTTAACGAACTTTTTTCATTCCAGTAGTATGTTCAGGTGCCAGTACTGACCGAATTTTTTCCCATAAGGAATATTGTGAAGTAGATTAGTCCATTTCAGACCCCCAAACATACACGTACAAACGCACTTACATAAATACACTTACATAATTGGTCGCATTTGGAGGTGATCATTAAGCGGGGGTCCACTGTATTTGAAAATATGTAAAAAAAAAGTAGATCTACTTTTGTAGCACTACGAATTTGAACGTCGATCTGTTTGGACCGTTTAAGGGTTAATAAATAATAAAGTGTTTATCTTTGTGAATTATTATTTCTTTTTCTATTCATTATTTTTCCTGAGGAGGAGCCAGCCTTGGTAATACTGTCTGAAGTTGTTACAGGGCTGAGTAAGCCTTCACAATGGATACTCTCTCTTTTACAACTTTTGCAGACAAGAGCACTGAATTCAGACACATGGCTTTTTTATATTTATGATGGAACATTAATTTTGTCATTCAGGTACAAGTTTGACCGAGACAAGCTTAAGGAGGCGCACAAGTCATGCCAACAGAAAGCTTTGGATGCTGCACAGAGCAGTTGTAATGTTATTGTCATTGACAACACAAATGTTCAAAATTGGGAAGCAAAATACTACTTGAATTTGACCAAGAAATACCATTACACACCGCTTATCTTGGAGCCTCAAACACCATGGGCCATGGATCCCAAAGAACTTGCTGAGAGAAATAGTCATGGAGTTCCCGAAGCAGTGATAGAACAGAAGGTAATGCACTGTACCAATTTGGTTTTTGTATGTTTTTATTTACTAATTTCGATTATGTATGTATAAGAATTGCTAGATCGTGGTAGAGTTGTCATAGGGATAAACCTAAAATAACCTCAATTACATGTCTTATTCATAGCATTAGTTAGTTTTCATATTCTATTTCATAGTAAGTTATCGTTCTGTTTCATAGTGCTAGTAAGTTATCATATTCTAATTCATAGTGCAAGTTATCACATTCTATTTCATAGTGCTAATAAGTTACCATTCTAATTCATAATGCTAGTAAGTTATCACATTTTAATTCATAGCACAGTGCTGTATGACCCTTGTGGGTTTAGCACTTAGTTATAATAATAATAATAATATTATTTTTTTTATTATCACACTGGCCGATTCCCACCAAGTCAGGGTGGCCTGAAAAAGAAAAACTTTCACCATCATTCACTCCATCACTGTCTTGCCAGAAGGGTGCTTTACACTACAGTTTTTAAACTGCAATATTAACACCCCTCCTTCAGAGTGCAGGCACTGTACTTCCCATCTCCAGGACTCAAGTCCGGCCTGCCGGTTTCCCTGAACTCCTCCATAAATGTTACTTTGCTCACACTCCAACAGCACGTCAAGTATTAAAAACCATTTGTCTCCATTCACTCCTATCAAACACGCTCACGCATGCCTGCTGGAAGTCCAAGCCCCTCGCACACAAAACCTCCTTTACCCCCTCCCTCCAACCTTTCCTAGGCCGACCCCTACCCCGCCTTCCTTCCACTACAGACTGATACACTCTTGAAGTCACTCTGTTTTGCTCCATTCTCTCTACATGTCCAAACCACCTCAACAACCCTTCCTCAGCCCTCTGGACAACAGTTTTAGTAATCCCGCACCTCCTCCTAACTTACAAACTACGAATTCTCTGCATTATATTCACACCACACATTGCCCTCAGACATGACATCTCCACTGCCTCCAGCCTTCTCCTCGCTTCAACATTCATCACCCATGCTTCACACCCATATAAGAGCGTTGGTAAAACTATACTCTCATACATTCCCCTCTTTGCCTCCAAGGACAAAGTTCTTTGTCTCCACAGACTCCTAAGTGCACCACTCACCCTTTTCCCCTCATCAATTCTATGATTCACCTCATCTTTCATAGACCCATCTGCTGACACGTCCACTCCCAAATATCTGAATACATTCACCTCCTCCATACTCTCTCCCTCCAATCTGATATCCAATCTTTCATCACCTAATCTTTTTATCCTCATTGCCTTACTCTTTCCTGTATTCACTTTTAATTTTCTTCTTTTGCACACCCTACCAAATTCATCCACCAATCTCTGCAACTTCTCTTCAGAATCTCCCAAGAGCACAGTGTCATCAGCAAAGAGCAACTGTGACAACTCCCACTTTATGTGTGATTCTTTATCTTTTAACTCCATGCCTCTTGCCAAGACCCTCGCATTTACTTCTCTTACAACCCCATCTATAAATATATTAAACAACCACGGTGACATCACACATCCTTGTCTAAGACCTACTTTTACTAGGAAATAATTTCCCTCTTTCCTACATACTCTAACTTGAGCCTCACTATCCTCGTTAAAACTCTTCACTGCTTTCAGTAACCTACCTCCTACACCATAGGAATTTGTGCATGGGGCTCAACAACAATTAACCATCTCAGACCACTAATTACCCAACAAAAGGCTGCAGTTAGAATGATAACAAATTCTCACTACAGGCAGCACACTCCACCAATATTCAATACACTAAACCTACTCACCATACAAAACATCCATACTTATTACTGCACCTATTACATACATAGAACACTTAACTCTGATATTAACCCTCCCCTCAAACATCTCCTTGCCAACCTCAACAGAACACATGACCATAACACAAGGCACAGATCACTCTTTGATGTTCCTCATGTCCATCTCACACTATGCAAAAACTCAATCACATAAAAGGCCCTAAAATCTGGAATTCATTACCTGTAAATATAAAAGAAACACAACCTGTTTATAAATTCAAGTCTCTTCTCAAAGATTACTTACTCACCCAAAACCAAATAAATACTGAATAACTGAACATTATAAATTGTATGTCTTAAATGTTTCTCACAATTATATCACATAAATGTTAAACCTAAAACCCAATCTAACTTTATTATTTTTTAAATACACTACCTAACAGAATCACTACCTAACTGAATGCAACCATATGACCTGTCTTTGTAATACTCACTTGTGCTTTATAGTTATCTGTTTACATTAATGTTTTATCACTGATTTCATCATTGCTTAGTAGCAGCGCTGTATAGTCCTTGTGGCTTAGCGCTTCTTTTTGATTATAATAATAATAATAATCATTGCTTAGTTAATCTTAAGTTAATTTTAAGCCAGCCCGTAATGCTATGCATAGTATAAGTGGCTTTGGCATACTGCTCTTATCTGTATTTTTTTTGTACCTCTGTATGTGTGCACAAATTGGAAATAAATAAATAAATAAATAAATAAATAAAATAAATAAATAAATACACCTGCAACATCTGCCACATTGCCCCCCTATCACCCTGTCATACGCCTTTTCCAAATCCATAAATGCCACAAAGACCTCTTTAGCCTTATCTAAATACTGTTCACTTATATGTTTCACTGTAAACACCTGGTCCACACACCCCCTACCTTTCCTAAAGCCTCCTTGTTCATCTGCTATCCTATTCTCCGTCTTACTCTTAATTCTTTCAATAATAACTCTACCATACACTTTACCAGGTATACTCAACAGACTTCTTCTTCTTCTTTCAACGTACCAGCCGCATCCCACCGAGGCAGGGTGGCCCAAAAGGAAAAAACGAAAGTTTCTCCTTTCAAATTTAGTAATATATACAGGAGAAGGGGTTACTAGCCCCTTGCTCCCGGCATTTCAGTCACCTCTTACGACACGCATGGCTTACGGAGGAAGAATTCTGTTCCACTTCCCCATGGAGAACTCAACAGACTTATCCCCCTATAATTTTTGCACTCTCTTTTGTCCCCTTTGCCTTTATATGAAGGAATTATATATGCTCTCTGCCAATCCCTAGGTACCTTCCCCTTTTTCATACACTTCTTCTTTCAACAAACCGGCTGTATCCCACCTAGGCAGGGTGGCCCAAAAAAGAAAAACAAAAGTTTCTCTTTTTAAATTTAGTAATTTATACAGGAGAAGGGGTTACTAGCCCCTTGCTCCCGGCATTTTAGTCGCCTCTTACAACACGCACGGCTTACAGAGGAAGAATTTTGTTCCACTTCCCCATGGAGATAAGAGGAAATAAACAAGAATAAGAACTAGAAAGAAAATACAGTGGAACCTCAAATATCGAATTTTCTTTGGTCCAGAAGGCTGTTCGAGTGCCTTTACCGAATGAATTTATTCAAATGAGGAATAATGTAAATTAGGTTAGTCCATTTCAGACCCTCAAAAATACACTTATAAAAGCACTTACAAAAATACACTTAGATAATTGGTTGTGTTGGGAGCAGTTCGATTTTTGAGGTTCCATTGTAGAAGAAAACCCAGAGGGGTGTGTATATATATACTTGTGTGTAGTGTGACCTAAGTGTAAGTAGAAGTAGCAAGACGTACCTGAAATCTTACATGTTTCATACACTTATTAAACAAAAATACCAACCACTTCAACACTATATCCCCACCTGCTTTTAACATTTCTGTCATTATTCCATCAATCCCAGCTGTGTTACCTCCTTTTATTTAACCCACAGCCTCATGCACTTTCCCTACTCACATCTTGCTCTTCCTTGCTCCTAAAAGATGTTGCACCTCCCTGGCCAGTGCATGGAATCACTGCCAGGTAATACTTGCATGAGTATGAGAGTAGCTGGGATTAAAGGGAATACCAGTTCATTGCAGGTATGTATTAAGACAGTATAATTGGACATATATTTTTCTTAATGAAATATTTTTTTCATTGTATAGGTTAGAAGCTATGAGCCAGTATTACCCTTATACTACTGGTGGTTCTTGAATGAAGTGGACTCAAAGAAGATATCCATGATTGCAAGACAATGGCTGGAAAGAGCCCTGCAGGTACAAAACTTTTTTCAGGACTTTGCAGAAACCACTAAGCTCTCAACACTGGAAGGTATGGCCAAGTTTTAGAAAGTTGTTTATTAGTGTATGTATATTATGAAATAGAGAAGTAATGTGACTCTTAAGTAATGTTTTAAAAGAGTATGTCCATGTTTTAGATAGGTGTATAGTAATGTATGTATATTTCTTGATTTTTTGATTGATTAGCAAGGCTTAAGTGGAATAAAAGAAACAAAAAAGATACATAAGAAAAGATTTTTAAAACAGAGGAGGATTATCCACCCAGGATAACCCAATGAAGTCAGTGCATCCTTGGGGACTGTCTATGTTATTTCCATTGTTGTCCTTTAATCTTTTCTTTCAGGATGCGACTTATATGGCAGGTTAGGTTCCAGGCTGTCGCCTGAAGGCAGAACGCCATTTTTTCCATTTATAAATGCATATAAATGCTAGACAACAAGTTTACACTAAATTATATTAAGTTAGTAATAGAACTAGGCATTAAAAACACACAAAGTAAAATACATTCACAGTACATTCATTACTTATCTTAATGTATTTGTAATCTTAATGTAGGGCGAGAGGCAAGTAGTACGTACTTATTTGTAGCAAGTCAGGTGTAGGTAGCCCTGGCTCCCCATCTCATACTTAATATACGATATTTAAAACATTCCAGAGAGTTAAAATACACATACAGTACACTCACTATTTACCTTAAAATATGTGTAGTCTTAATATAGGAAGAGAGGTGAGTAGTATTTATTTGTAGGAAGTCAGTGTAGGTAGCCGGTAGGTGTAGCCCGCCTGGGCTACACCTACCGGCTACCTACACTGTGGCCCAGAGCCATATTATTAGCATCGACATACCTTGTTCACTGAATTTAATCATTTCTAACAATTACCTTTAGATGCCATCATAAACGAAGGGAGAAATAATGAATAATTCATGCCAAAAATTGTAAACAAAAGCGGAGTGGGGGAGTGGCTGGGCCAAACGCAGATTCATACACATATTCTCTGGTGGCTGAGCAAAGAAAACGTAATGTTATCCCTCCGCCCGGCTACCACACAGGTCCACAAGTATTATTATCAGAGCACATATAAAATATGCAATAAATGCCAGACAACAAGTTTACACTAACTTATATTAAGTTAGCAATAGAAATAGGCATTAAAAACACAATCAAAGGTAAGATACACACAGAGTACACTTATTACTTACCTTAAAATATTAATATTAATGTGTGAGAGGTGATTGGCAGGGTGTTTATGGAATAAAATCAGAATGGCACACCATCATCCTCTAACTTGGCACTTAAAGCAAGAGTCTTACGACTTCTCTTTTTATCACAGCTAAGCTTAGACACCATCGTCAATGAGAGCTAACTAGTTAACAAAAGAGTAAACGAGAAAGAGAACGAGATACAGAGTTCAGACAGTGTAAGAACACAAACTGAACAGGTAGTGGGCGATCACTTGGTCAGGCGAAATAAATGCGTATTAATGTGTGTGTACTTTTAGTTCATTCACGTACGTTTGTAAGAGTTTGTAGAACATTTACCTCAGTGTTTTTTTATTATATAATTACCTCACAATACAAATACTCTTACATTGTGTACAAGTTGTACAGAATAAACAAACAGCAACACACCATTTTTTGAGTGAATGAAGATATTATTATTATTATTATTATTATTATTATTATTATTATTATTATTATTATTATAAAAAGCACTAAACCCACAAGGGTCATGAACTGCTATATATAGAGTGAAGGCATACGAAAAGAATATTTTTCTACAGTTATCCCCCAGTTTGACTAGAGAAAACGTAATTCTTCCGACAGTACCTACACAGCCGCTTTGTAAACAAATCTCATATTTCGTCAATTTTTATTCTGTGAGTGTATGTATCATGTTTATATGCTATGTAATGGGTTTCATATATAATTTTGAGGAAAATATCATAGATTGATTAATGAAAATACCTATATTAATGTAAAATAAGATATTTAATGTGCCCAAGAGTGATTATTATTATATAGTGTATTGGCGTCATGAGTAGAGAGAGCCTTAGCGATTTTAATGTGTACCTGCACACCAGCACAGTGTGTAAGTATATTTAGGTACAGGTACATGTAAATATAATTGTCAGAGTACATATAAAATATCATAATCATAATCATAGAATTGATGAAGGAAAAAAGGTGAGTGGTGCGTTGAGGTATATGTGGAGTCAAAAAACGTTATCTATGGAGGCAAAGAAGGGAATGTATGAAAGTATAGTAGTACCAACACTCTTATATGGATGTGAAGCTTGGGTGGTAAATGCAGCAGCGAGGAGATGGTTGGAGGCAGTGGAGATGTCTTGTCTAAGGGCAATGTGTGGTGTAAATATTATGCAGAAAATTCGGAGTGTGGAAATTAGGAAAAGGTGTGGAGTCAATAAAAGTATTAGTCAGAGGGCAGAAGAGGGGTTGTTGAGGTGGTTTGGTCATTTAGAGAGAATGGATCAAAGTAGAATGACATGGAAAGCATATAAATCTATAGGGGAAGGAAAGAGGGGTAGGGGTCGTCCTCGAAAGGGTTGGAGAGAGGGGGTAAAGGAGGTTTTGTGGGCGAGGGGCTTGAACTTCCAGCAAGCGTGCATGAGCGTGTTAGATAGGAGTGAATGGAGACGAATGGTACTTGGGACCTGACGATCTGTTGGAGTGTGAGCAGGGTAATATTTAGTGAAGGGATTCATGGAAACCGGTTATTTTCATATAGTCGGACTTGAGTCCTGGAAATGGGAAGTACAATGCCTGCACTTTAAAGGAGGGGTTTGGGATATTGGCAGTTTGGAGGGATATGTTGTGTATCTTTATACGTATATGCTTCTAAACTGTTGTATTAATATATAATACTGGGCACCTCTGCAAAAGCAGTGATAATGTGTGAGTGTGGTGAAAGTGTTGAATGATGATGAAAGTATTTTCTTTTTGGGGATTTTCTTTCTTTTTTTTGGGTCACCCTGCCTTGGTGGGAGACGACCGACTTGTTGAAAAAAAAAAAAAAGTTTATTTCTTTGTAAAGGTTACAATGTGTAATTACAATTTTGATTTACTAAGTACAAAAATAGCCACTATCATGCCAAGGCATTTTGGGCATGATTAGGAGAGCATGCAACTCTGGGGTGGAGAGATCAGATGGATCAGAATAGGATGACCACAAGAGTATACAAATCTAGGGTGAGGTGATTTTTTTTTTTTTTTTTTTTTTTTTTTTTTTTTTTTTTTTTTTTTCCAACAGGTTGGTCGTCTCCCACCGAGGCAGGGTGACCCAAAAAAGAAAGAAAATAAATAATAAATAATAATAATAATAAATAATAAATTTAATTTCAGTTTGGACCTAATTTTGTTTCAGAGGACGTAGTTTTTCAAATATCACTCTAATCGGGTTAATATGCACATTCATTATAGTGAAAGCCCAGAAAGAAATTAGATTTGGACATGGGAAATCATTAAGCTAATTTTCAATGAAATCCTTTGGTTAGTTTTCAATATGAGTGATGCTCAAATCTCCTCTCCCCCCCTCCAAAAAAAAAAAATGGACACTGAAAACCCCCATGAATAATTGAACTTACTTGTGAGTTGAATAATCAAGTTTTGTGAATTTTGAATTGTATGAATTAGGGTGGTCATATACCTTAGTGTATTTTCAATAGATTTTCATCAAAGAGATGGAGATTTTCTTTGGACATGATAAATAATAAATAATAGAAAAGATTTTCCAGATGTTAAGTGAACTTTAGAAAATATAAATGCTATAGTACTGTAATGGCTTCATTTCAGAGATGCTGAATTACCATTCTAGAAATGCACAGCAAGGTGGATATAATGTTCTTCATGCTACTGCTAGTGTTACAAGGAGAGGTAAAGTACAACATGACTTGGAATACATCCAAAATCCAGCAGTTAGAAAATCCCTTGGAAAATGCTTCGATCTCCTTATAGTTGGTTATGTGGTAACACCAAGGACATTTGGAGCCAGATTAAAGTTGGGAACGAGTGAACTAGAACTATGGGGTATGGATGATAATGAAATTGAACTCGAAAATACTTCACTTCCTTCAGAAAACCATACTGCTGATAAATGTCCTGCAGAGTGCTTGGATAATTCACGTGATAACTTAGAAATAGATTCTGATAGAAAATACAATTGTGCACAAGAAATGAACATAGGAACTTCATCCCATTGTGACACAGTGAACATCCTCTCATCAAAATTAACCAGTGACAGATTTTACCCAACTAGTGGCAAGGGAAGTCGTGCACATATCACTCTTGGTTGTGCTCCAAACATACATGCAAAGGCCACAGGATTTGATCTGATAAAAGTTGTATCTCTTGAGCAACGCATAAAGGAAAGTGAAAAATCTGAGGATTCTGAAGTATCTAATCTAAAGGTACAAGCGTATTCGATTTCTGAAGGAACATTAAAAACCTATGGAGATGGCATATGGGTTATATACCCAGAGAAAGAAATGACTGTTAGTTCCATGTTTTCTGCATTTTACTGAATATAGGAATGATATATTCATTTAGTTCATAAAATAATCAGAAAGCCATAACTTGTCTGCATAAAGTATTGCAGTTTATATCAAATGGGGTGACATTTGCACATTTGGTTTGTTGATAAAGGGAATAAGAGGAATTGGGATAGTAATATGAAGATGTAAATGAAGAAGTACATACTAAAACATGTGTCTTTCTTTAAACTGTTCAAGTGCAGGTAACTCATGATTGCTAACTTGTAAACTGTACACAGAGGCAATTTAAGTAAATCTTTTTTTCTCCTTTCAACACAATGGCCATATCCCACTGAGGCGGGGTGGCCTAAAAGGAAAAATGAAAGTGTCTCCTTTTACATTTAATAACATATACAGGAGGAGGAGTTACTAGCCCCTTGCTCTTGGCATTTTAGTCACCTCTTACGACATGTATGGCTTACGGAGGAAGAATTCTGTTCCACTTCCCCAAGGAGACATGCAAGTACTACTGTAAGTAAATATATTTACTTACAAGTACTACTGTATAGTAGGTGCTTCATTATTTGTTTATTGATTATCCAGATGTCATGGTTGAATTACTGGATAACAGAACAGGCAACTCTGATATCTGGCCTGTTAGAATTAAAGGTGCCAAAAAATGCATAAAAATATTGCTTGGTAATGTTATTACTAATGCCTCAGTTTATTATGGCCATGTGTTTAATGTAGTGCCTGTGATATATATTAATCTAAAGTTTTCAAGTGAATATTTAATTGCTTTCACATGAGTTTCGTGCATTTATATGCATATTATATATATGGAAAAGGAAGATCACAAGTTTCAAAGTTAAGCTGATGCCAGGATCATCACTGCTCATTGCTAAGATCAGCAAAATGATTTTCTAATTAAGTATTTGTTTACAAATATACTTAACCAAATTCACTGAAATTTAGTGTTACAATTGCCTGGGAAAGATGTTCATATTTGGTTTTGATTTTGGATCATATGTAATATATATTGCTGTATATGATAGTGGTTTGAATCAGATGACTGCATCCATCTGAGGTTCTGCCTCGTACTATGTAGTTCAGATAATTTAGCACCCACAGTATTTATTATTCTCTGTGAAAACTAATTGATAACATAGAACTACCTTTAAAGAACTTCCTACTATTATATTCCCAAGCTCCATTATTTGATCATCACTTTATTTGTTCACCACAAATTATTTTAGTCCCTTTTATATTGTCTCCTTTATTTTAGCTTTAAAGAACTACCTTAGTTCATATTTTTTACATTTGTTAAAATAATTCAGGTGCTATTTTTTAGCTTTAGAATATTTACTTTGTCTTATACTTAATTCTTACTATAGATTCACTCTAAATCTTATGATTACAAGCATTGATCCTGATACCAACCTCTTATTGAATGACTTAAATGACTCAAACAGTAACTGTAATTACTACACAGCAGAACAATAAAGGCACTCCTCAGAGCCAACAACAACATAACTGTCTTTAACTACAATATCAGATCTTTAAGCAAGCATTACGATGACCTCATAGCATTACTAAATTCCCTACATGCCAGTATGTCCATCATTACTCTCATCGAAACCTGGCTAAAGCCTGATACTACAGATGTCTATGCCATTCCTGGTTACACAGCCATACACAACTGTAGGCCAGATCAACAAGGGGGTGGCACAGCTATATACTACTCAGACCAACTAGAATGTATCACTAATACTTGCACAAGGGATGAACATGGGGAATATATAATAGCTAAATTCAAATCAAAATACCTACAAAAACCTCTCACAGTGATAAACATCTACAGAGTACCACAGTCAAACATTAGCCGTTTTAGTGAAAACCTAGGATGTATGATAACTGATGCACGCATGAATAAAGATCACTTACTACTCTCAGGTGACTTCAGTATAAATCTCCTGCAAGACCAGGACCCACATGTTACTGAATTTGCAAACACTATGAGTAACTGCATGTTGCTACCAACAGTAACAAAACCTACAAGAGTTACACAGACTAGTGTTTCCCTACTAGACCACATCTGGACCAACACCATATCCCCTTTAAAATCAGGCATAATCATAGACAATACCACAGACCACTACCCTACCTTCCTCATAACAAATCTTGGCAAATTACTCCATGACACTACTAAAGTCACTTTCAGACTTCACAATGAGGCAGCCATTAATAACTTCACAGCAGCAGTGACAAACATTGACTGGCACACCGAGCTAGAAATCTATACAGATATTAATGAATGTATTAATAATTTTCTAAAAAAGACCCAATACCTCTAGCTCATAAATTGTATCTCACAAACATTTCTCATAATTGTATCTCATAAATGTTTAACCTATGACCCAATCAAACTTTGTTATGTTTCATTACATTACCTAACTGAATACTCCATTCTACTGGACTTCTGGACTCTGGTAATGTTGCTCAGTAGCTTGGAGGCTGAAGACCATTGCAAGCCAATGTAGGTCTATCTCGGTGCTGTACATCTGGTGAGACCTTTAGAAACTAGGCCTAGACCATTAACTCTAGTAGGAAGTATGTGAAACAAGTGGGTAGACCCACTGTCTACATTTTGCTAAGCCATATACCTTGGGTCGTCTCAACCCGACAACACTAGTGTGCAAAAAGAAACATTTGAATTCACTACTGGAACTGGCTTTGGCTTACCCCTATATAATCATGAATAATTCTAGCAGGCCTCAAAAACTTTCCCACATCCTGGGTGGAAGAGAAAATGGTGTGCTATTCTGCATAGTAGTGGATATGGCCATGGGTCGTCAGGACAGCACTGGAGCATTAATCTTTTTATGTACAGATTGTTCACAGGGCTGCACCAGATATCAGGCATTGTCTGCACGTTGAGGGTCGTTAAACCATCCACCCATCTGTAAACAACGACTGGCAGTAGCATTTCCTAGGGTGTGACATATGACATAAAAAGGGCGGCACTGCCCTGGAGTATGATACAGACCATATAATACACGCTGTGTGCAACAAACTTGCAGTTATGTTACAGCCTCTCCTCACTTAATGACTGAGTTTTGTTCTTAAGCCCATGTTAAACAAATTCATCGCTAAGTGAGGAGCATAATATAATGGTAGTGAGTTTGTGTCAACCATCTTTGATATTGTTTTAATGTCACCTTTCCACCATTTATAACATTTCTGGTATACTATTTTTAAATGTTTATACAGTAGTGTACTGTATATTGAAATAAACAGAATAGAAGAAATCAGCTCTAATATACATTACAGTATGAATACTGGTCAGAGAGCCCGTCGTAAGTCTGAGGCATCGATAAACGAGTATGTCGCTAGGTGAGGAGAGGCTGTACTTGCAAGGAAAATGTTTACAACAATACTACAGGTTTTTTTATTATTATTTTTTTATTAACACACTGGCCGATTCCCACCAAGGCAGGGTGGCCCGAAAAAGAAAATAGCTTTCACCATCATTCGCTCCATCACTGTTTTGCCAGAAGGGCGCTTTACACTACAGTTTTTAAACTGCAACATTAACACCCCTCCTTCAGAGTGCAGGCACTGTACTTCCCATCTCCAGGACTCAAGTCTGGCCTGCTGGTTTCCCTGAATCCCTTCATAAATGTTACTTTGCTCACACTCCAACAGCACGTCAAGTATTAAAAAACATTTGTCTCCATTCACTCCTATCAAACTCTTATAAAAAACATACTGCTTTTTACATATATACATGGTGTAGTCCACCCTGACTCCACTATTTGAACTTTAACTAATTATACAGTGTATGAGCATTGATGCCCATTTCAGCAAGAAGACAGTGTAGTCAGCAGTCAGCATAGTAGTTGGACAGGTCAACAGGTGTGTCAATGTCACAGAAATGTACTGCTGTCCTGGGTCTCAGACCATAGATATGTGACTGGACAGGAAGACAGTCATTGGTCATATTAGCAGAGGAAGAAGTAGTAGACGGGCTGTTGCTAATGTCAGTCTGGTTGTGGCATTGCAACGCATGCTCCACCAGCTCAGCCTCGGCTTGCACATTGTCATTGTACTTCATGTGGTCAAGGTGAGTTTCTTTAGTCGTTCCTGTGACAATCTCCGTCACCTCAAACTTGTTGCAGTGGAGCTGTCCGAGGACACATGGTAAGGACTAGGAACTAGCTTATGCATATCAGGGATTTGCATAGGATTTTGCAACATTACTTTGCAACCTGGTACAACCTTACTCTCCTTAGCAATAGTGTTATGATTAAACATAAACTTATCTGTTGCTTTCTTGAGATTTTCACGTACTCTCTGAAAGACAAGCTGTGAAGTCTGCATCTTACTGATGCTGATGTTTACATTATCATATACAGGCTGAGACGGAGCAAACAGAATTTCATATGGCAAACGCTTGTCATAGCCATAAAATGCAAAGTGGGGTGTCTTTGCAATCCAGCTGTTGTCTGCCGAGTTTAGAGTACTCTGCACACATCTGCTAGGAAAATGATAGGATGGATAATGAAGACCTTCAAAACTAGGGATGCCAAGCCCATGATGATTATCTTCAAATTGCTTGTTCTCTCTAGGCTGGAATACTGCTGTACACTAATGGCCCCTTTCAAGGCAGGCAAAACTACAGACCTGAAGAATATACAGAGAACTTTCATGGCATGTGCATGTATAAATACGATAAAGCATCTAAATTACTGGAAGCAGTTGAAGGTCCTTGATTTGTATTGTCTGGAATGCAGGCAAGAAAGATGCATGATAATATACACTTGGAAAATCCTAGAGGGACTAGTCCCAAATCTGCACATGAAAATGACTCCCTACAAAAGCAAAAGACTTGGCAGATGCAACATTCCCCTAATGAAAAGCAGGGACACCATGAGTACGTAAAGAGACAACACAATATGTGTCAGAGGCCCAAGACTGTTCAACTGCATCCCAGCATACATAATGGGGATTACTAATAGACCCCTGCCTGTCTTCGAGAAGGCACTGGACAGGCACCTAAAGTCAGTAGCTGACCAGCCGGGCTGTGGCTCGTACATCAGTTTACATACAGTCAGCAGTTACAGCCTGGTTGACCAGGCCCTGATCCACCACAAGGCCTGTCATGGACCCGGCTGACAGGGCATTGACGCCCAAAACCCCGTTCAGGTATACTCCAGGTATAGAGTTGTCAGGAAGTGGAACAATCTGGAGAGTGATATAGTAAAGGCAGGATCCATACATAGCTTGAAGAAGAGATAAGACAAAGCTCATGGAGCAGGAAGACAGAGGAGCTAGTAATGAACAATGGAGAGGTGGGGCCATGAGCTGTGAATCGATCCCTGCAACCACAAATAGGTAAGTACACACACACACACACACGCACACCAGCGAAGAGGTGGTGCCAGGAGCTGTGAATCGACTCCTGCAACCACATACAGGTGAGTACACACACAACAAATACAAGGTTATGAAAATTGGGGAAGAAGCAATAAGAGCATAAACTAGTATAAACTGGAGGAAGAGAGGCTGCAAACCTCCCTCCAAGAGGAAGACTCTTGGGGTTAACATAGTTCCCAGCATATCACCAGAGGCACACATCACCTAAAAAAACATTTGTAGTGAATTTGTTTGGCAGATATGAGCTTAGATTTCAGGACTCTTAACAGTCATAAAACATATGTCAGATCCATTATACACGATGCATGCTACACAGCACCAGCATGGAATGCCTACCTAATAAAGTATGTAAAGAAACTGGCGAAGGTACAAAGATATGAAACGAAACTAGTCCCAGACCTAAGGAAAATGAGCTATGGAGAGGAACAAGGAACTGAATCTGATGTCATTAAAAGACAGAAGGACCACGCAAGACATAATAACCACATATCTGATACTCAGAGGAATTAGGGTGAACAGTTATAGACTCTACTTTTTCTTCACGTATTTTATACATGTAGTGGGCTCGTATTTGTTTAGTGAAAAATATAGGTTAGTACAGTAAATGACCTTAAAAGAATAGTTTAATATAAATATTTATGTAGAGGCACAGGGATAAGGCAATAAATATAAAGCAAGACAAATAGATGAAGGCAATGAGGGAGGCAACAAGGGAGGGTGGCTTAAAAGCTGTAAAAAAAGGGAGGATGGAAGAGAAGATTGATGGATGGGTGGGAGAAGAAAGGAAGCAGGCAGGAAAGGATGGATGAATGGAAGGATGGATGAATCAGTGATTGCAAAAAGTAAGGGTCGTAGGAAGGGAGGAATGAAGACAGGAAGAGACAAAGGCAGGAACAGAGGTAGAAAGGGTATCATAGACAGGGAATATCTCTCTCTCTTCATCACATAACAGCCAAAACACATCTAATTTGCCAATGTTTCTTTGTTCCCACTATGTAATTATCATATACTTTAGAATATGGTAACAGCACACTGAAGATATATCCAATTTTTGCTAAAAAAGAAAAAAACAGGTGTCAGTACCTGGTCAACGACTTTTTTTTTCCCCCTGTTGGTTTGGAAATAAGTCTCTTCAAAAATTAGTCTTGAACTACTAAGTCGCTCTACTTTCTGTCATCGAATTTCAGCCAGTTTCACTGAAAATATAATCTCCCATGACAAGCACATTATCATGTGTAATTAAAGGTTTAATAATAATACAGTATCGCCCCAATAGTGTTTTCCTTGATCGCTTTCTAAATTTATGAGTCAGTATAGCTCATCTAAGATCAGACTATCATGTTCTTAAAGGAATTGTAAGCTAACCGTTTGTGTTTTTTCCTCCAGTTTTTGTATATTTTGTTGCAGCAATACAAGTTTTCTCTACAACAACTCATCTCTGTCTCTCTCCTTGTTGTTTCTGTTAGTGTGGATATAATCTGAATCTTTGTAGGAGTCATTTGGTAGGTCTCGGTTGATTTAAAAAATATTTATGATTCCTGTACATGCAATTAGTGTAATTTTTTTTATCTTGTTTCTTGATGTGCTAAGAGAACTTCAGTCCTTCTGAAGTATCATATCCTTTATAAGAAAACACTCCAGTCTTGTAAAAGAAAAATTCAGTGCTGCTGGAGTGTCATATCTTGTGTAAACAAATACTCTAATCCTTTGTAAGATAACTCCAGTCCTGCTGGAAGTACTGTAGTCGAGTGTTCGGTAAAAGGTGTCAGTGTTCCTAATGATGGTAATTAAAAATAATCTTATTCTTTGCACTACGATTGTTTTATAATAGATCTTTAGAAAGTTTTTTTTGTGTGTTCTCTGTATTACTTTCTTCTTCCTTTATTTTCGGTGTACTCATAGTAGTACCCCTTCCAGGGGTGGCAAAGGAGCTCTTGATCTGAGGAATTAAACCTCCTGTTCCTTCCCTCAGATCAAATCTGATTACCCTCCC